TTTTTTTTTCTTTTCTTTTTTGTTCATTTAATTTGATTATTCTAAGATGTAGAATAAATAGGATAATCTAATCGATTAAAAGAAAAGACTGATAATACATATCATAATAATACCTTCATCATATTCTTCATGAATTCTTTGTTGAGTTCGAGAATAGATTTTTCGTGGAGAATCATATATATCATTTTGATTTGGTACAATAAATCGAGTATTTTTTAATTTTGATTGAACAGATATTGGAGTTTGAGAACTAAAAAGATATTGATAGAAAATTTATCTAAAAACAAAATAAAACAAAAGTATAAACTTACGTATTATGAACATCATCAATGAAAGACGTTGGTATACTACCAAGTAGAAGTCGTCCGATTCTTGCTGTTTCTTCGTTAACACCTTCAGATAATCGATAGTTTTCTAAATGACTATTTGAAGGACATATTATTTTATCAATATATTCATTTAAAATAATATTTTGTGATTCAATAGGAGATGAAGAAAAAATTTGATCAAATAATTCTTCTGTATTTGAATTCAATTGAGAATTAGTTGCTATAACATCTTTTTTTTCAAGTATTGATGTTGATGATGTATTCTATAAATAAGCAAAAAAACAAAATAAATAAAATAATGTCTTCAAGGATAATTATCATCGAGTTATTTAGTTTTTATGTCCTTCATTTAGCTTTTTCTTGCACAAGTAGCAATCATTAATAATAATAATATATATATATATATAGGAAGGTACATAAAAGAAAAAAAAGAAAAAGTTTTTCCTTGAATTTGATAGTTCTAATCATATAAGATACACACACATACATACATACACAAGCATGAAATACTAACGACAATTAGATAGGCAACACAAGATGAGAGGAAAAACAAAACCAATGAACTTTCTCATATATACTATATTGAAGAAACAAGTATTTTTTTTTTTTGATTCTATAAGATTGACACGTATAACAAATAGATCTAAATTATCCTTGGAAAAGACACTTATAACATTGTATACTTCATTGACAAGACAAAAAGCAAATAGATAGTTCATAGATAGTTATTTGTCTATAAGATTACTTACAAAATATTAAGTGTTTTTATTTTTTATTCTTTTAGAAATATTTATATATTTACTAGAATTGTAATATTTTGAGAATAATTTTTACAAAATTAAATTTTCGATATACCTGATTTAAAGTTGTTTGTTTTGAATTATGAATAGAATTATGATGTGTTTTTGAAAATGTATATAATTTATTAAGACTATATCGTGGAATATTTGATATTTGTTCATCATCATTTGATATGCCTGGTTTTGTTGCAAAAACAATAAATTCATCTGTATCATTCATATCATTTTCATCTAATTCTCTAAGACCATTTTCATCTTCTGATAATTCTCTTACACCACTATTTTTATCATCATCATGATCAAGGTTTTGTAAATGTAATATATCAGTAAGTACTGTTTCAACTAAATCATTTGCAACACGTTCTAATAATTCATTATCATTAGATTTTTCATTAAATAATGATAAATTTGTACAATATGTTACATTATTATTGAATTTCGACAATATGAAAAATCGAATAACAATGAATGGGTAAGAATTATGAATAGACAAATATAGTTTTAAGTGTCATAAAGAATGAACATTATGTTAAATATTCCATATTTGCAATAAAATGATGAATTAGATTTAGATAGTTATTCACATTCTAAATATCGTTGATTGAAATGATTATTTTATCCGACAATTGTCATAAATGTTTTTTTTTTATTTTATATAATCAGGAATATTTATTCTTGTGTTCAAATAAGAAATAGTTTGCAAACATTGAATATTTTTGTTTATATCTAGTAATACGTTTATATCTTCTTATATACACTAATAAAATTTTGTATATTAGAGAAGGTTATTAGAGAAATAGGAGAATAGAAGTATTTTGAAAAATAATATTTCATTTAGACGTTTAAATTAAAATTCAATAGTGTTCA